GGGAGGTGGGTGAAGCTTTGGCGGTTGTTGTTGTCCTGCCACGGGGGTTCGACTGGATGTGAGCGAGGGAGTGTGTGCGGGTGGCACAGCAGGGGGCACAGGTGGTGCATTCGGCCGGTCATCTCGGACGGTCAACCCACGGCGCCTGCTGGCTCTGTCCCGTGACCTCCTGCCAGCGGAAGTTTGACACTTCACGTGGCCTTTACGTGCACCTAGCCCGGCACAAGCACCGGGGGGACGTCACCGCCACTTTAGTGGCGAATGGCAGTTGTTGTTGTTTTTGTGGGTGGCTTAGAAGAGGATCGGTTGTTTGTTTTCATCTTAACCTGCTTCTTTCGCAGTAGTATTTTCCTGGGTGACCGAGAATGAGAGATTTCCCCCCCCTTCCCCCCCCCCAAAAAAAGATGTATCCCAAAGTGGGATGGACATTGCGTACCGTAGCGTGTGTGTCTCGCTATTTCCATCACAATTGGCAGCGGTCCACAGATAGTGTGCGTGTGTGTATGTGTGTGTATGTGTGTGTGTATGTGTGTATGTGTGCCATCCAAGTGGGGGAGCGGTAGCGTAGCGGTTAGCGCTACGTGGCGCTACGAACCCGGCGACCCGAGTTCGATTCCCGCCCACGGCCATCAACACCGGTGACGATTATCTTGTACCGGTCCTGGGCCTCCCCTAGGTCGGCTCGGCCTCAAATGAGTACCTGGTGCGGTGTATAGTAAACATCGCCACGAAGGAAACAAAGGCGGTCAGGCTTGGTCCTTGTCACCCACCCCCTCGTGTACCGTTCCAGCCTTCATAGGTGCTCGCTAACAGCACTTGCCCCAACGGTCTGTTAAGGCTATACGGGGGGATCTTTGTCTTTGTTGTACCATCCAGTGCTAAGTCAATAGAGAGAGCATTGTCTGCAGGCGATGCGAGGTATAGATTTGCGCTGTTCGGTAGCGGAAGGAACACCGCGGTACGACTGTATGAACAACACCCTTTGAGTTCATCATATTTTTGGTTAACCTTTATTTGGTGTGCAGCAGCAGCAGTAGCATCATCATCATCATCACACCGCTTCGTGTGATTACAGCGATTCAACGTGTTTCGCTCTGCTACAGGCCGCAAGGTGATTAAAAACGAGTTCACGGGCTTGTCAAGCGGTTGTTCTTGTGACGGGCAACACGTTTGTTAATTAATTGGTTAATTCGTTACAGCCGGTAAATGAATGCAACGCGTCAATGTACACCGGATCGTTGTGCGCTTTTCACGAATCCTGAAATATTAATTTGCCTCGAGAACAAAATAACTTTGCTTTTAAATGCAACAAAAAGGCCATTGAGTGTAATGCGTCACCTTAGTTTGTTTGTTTGTGGAGGCTGTTACCGCATTAATAATTATTCATTTCAAATGCACGACTATTAACCTTTCACTTTACCAACACGTGCGTAACTTTAAACGCCTACTGGAAGGTAATCAAAGAGACCGCTTCATTAAATAGATTCCTACTATGAACGCCAATGATCGATAACTCTTCTCGCCGTCCGCATGCCCTGTCGTTCATGGGAGCTGTTTGACGAAACTTCACATCGCTGCTCACCGTAGGTTGGTGAAAGGTCAGCACAACACCGGTCGATGTCGATCTCACTCGTGGTTGGGGGTCAAACTTAGATCATCAGATTCATAGAGAAGTGCGCTAATAACTGTGCAACCCCCCCCCCCCCCCCATTATTAATTTGCTATATTTAAAAATAAAACAACCGCATCTGCACTATAGATTATTGAAGTGATTGCAATGGCATTGATGCGCTTTACCAAATGGAACTTTGATCTTCTGGTGGTAATAATTAACAAGATACCGGGGATGACAGCTGACGGAATGTGAAGCGGATTTAATATTGCATTAAGCAGTCGCGGGCAGCATCGTCACGCATAAAGGACTGCCTGTTCCTTCTGCAATCCTTCCTGTAACTTTAAACGGAAGAGACATCAGAGCCTCGCCAGAGAAATGTGACGCGGCTCACAAGGCTAATATTGTTGGGTAGTATTTTCACAACGAGTCGGGCGTGCTCCGATTACAGACACTGTCCTATTCTAAGAGGCTGTAAATTCCAAAGTTACTGGAGGTATGACTTATAATGAGATGAGACGTCCTCGGTATTCATGGCAAATGTGTGAAGAGAACAACGTGCAGTAGAATGCACAGATGGTCTTCGGCCGTTTGAGCCACATCACGTGTGCCTCACTTCACGTGTGTTCACCCTATTGCCGTGCATGACGCACACTCGTGTGAGCTACCAATACACCGCAGTGCATTCTTGTTTTCGTCCAAACATAAACCTTAATTCGAAACCAAACGAAATATGCCTGTTAAGAGACACATTTAGTCTCACGAAATATGTATTTTTTTCCCCGATCACTGGTCGACTGGAGTAATAGGCACTCGACTCGTAACCGCAAATTACTCACTGAATGTTTTTTTGTTGTTGCTGGGTCACTGATAGACTGGAATAGGAGGCACGTGAGTAGTGAGACACAGCCATTGCAATAGATTCAATGGATGTGGTGTTCCAAGCACCACAAAATGTGTCTGTGAGTCGCTGATCTAGACGGACACGGCAGAAATTAACCCTGGTCTGACCTATCTTGCGTACTGCCCTCTGAGTGTAGTTGTATTCATCTTCTTGGTTCTTTCGGTAAAGTCACGTAGAAGGGAAATAATAAAATAATAAAACATAATAAACTAATAAAATAATTCTCACGACGTTTCGGCCACAACGCAAGCAGCCGTCCTCAGGTGAAGAACAGGTCTGTCGGAAAGACAGCGCTTCCGACAGACCTGTTCTTCACCTGAGGCCGGCTGCTTGCGTTGTGGCCGAAACGTCGTGAGAATTATTTTATTATGTTTTATTTGTATTATTTTCTTATTTCCCTTCTACGTGACTTTACCGAAAGAACCAAGAAGATGAATCCCTGCAGTCACGAAAGCTTTAAATCGAAATTTAGTTGTATTATTATGTTTCCTCCAGCGCTGGGGGAAAAAAAATTGGACAAACATTCCATAGCGTCTTGGGTCTCAGTGAGGCTTTCCTGGGTAAAGTAAAATGTATATTTTGGGAATTGTCATAAACAAATTAAAGTGGAACATTTTTTAAAGTTTTTTTAATGCTATCTGGTTTACAGTTTTAGAGCGGTCCAACATTAATATTATCTTGTCCCTGAAATTTTCACTGCACTGCCAATACTTGCTTTTTTATTCTGGAAATAGTTTCTGAAATAATTTTCTCTCTTGTTTGTGTTGAAAATTCTGAGCACTCGTATTCATTGCGACAGTTGACTGGGGCGACGGTATACCGAGCAGCAGTGTAATTCTTTTTTTTAAACATATTTCATGTATAAGGCATGCATGAGTCAAGCAAGACTAAACAGGCATTTACAACGTCCTTTACTTCTCATGGGTTAGGATGATCTATGACTTACTGTTATTGTTGAACCAGTCAAAATCTACGTTTTAAATTTGCTGGTGTGTGCAGGATGAAAATTCGTTATTCCATCAACTCACTTTTGCAATGTTGTAGTAGTTGAATTCCCATAAAGTAAATATGTGTGTTGTTTTTAAACCACAAAGACAGAGATCCTCCTTAAAGGCTTAACAGACTGTTGGGGCAAGTGCTGTTAGCGAGCACCTTTGCACGCGAGGGGGTGGGTGGCCAGCACCACGCCCGGCCGCCTTTGTCTCCCTAGTGGCGATGTTGAGACACCACACCAGGTACTCAGTTGAGGCGTAGCCGACCTCGGGGAGGCCCAGCACCGGTCCAGATAATCGTCACCGGTGTTGGCTGTGAGTGGGAATCGTACTTGGGTCACTGGGTTCGTAGCGTAGCACGCTAACCCACGCACACACGCAACCAATCACCGGTTTACATTCTCATTTTCTCCCAGCTGTCAAACTAAGTATATTCAGTACATGTCATGAACTCACATTATTTCCCAAAAATATTGTGTTATTTTTAAGATGGTTTCCGCGGTTGCGTTGTTTTGTACAGCTCTCCGATGTGTTAGCGACTCGTATCGCATGTTGTCCAGCGCCATGTCCGACGTTCCGCTCCACGTTCTGTGATCTTCTTCAGGAACAGGACGTCTAGCGAAACGTCGGACATCATGCCGAACACGACGCGGTACAACGTGAAAATTCAGCCGATGGCGATTTCAGAACTCTATACTTTTCACCCTACTTTTTTGGTCACCACGTGAGGATGGGAACCTTCTTGTGTGTGTGTGTGTGTTGAACTTCTTTCGCACAGTACATAGCCAACCGTGCACGAATCGGAGGTGCGGGTGTGCTCTTCCCGATGTGTTGATTAGCATGGCCGTGCAGGACTTTTCCACTAGAGGTCACCTACCCACAAAAAAAGGCTTTGCTCGAGACGAAAATCTTTGGCACGTAGAGCAGCTTGCCTTGAGGAACCCATGATGTGTTTAGCTCACAAGAACAACACTGCTGTGTGCATCCATCCATCAACACCAGCTGCAGTCAAAACAATTTACATGTTACAGGCTCACGCTGCCGTGCTCATCTCTGCACGGACGGTTGCGGACGTCGCTTTCTCAAAAAATCCCATTCCTGGGAAAAGTTTTCTCTTATTCATTGGCGTGGTGGTTGGTGGGGGGAGGGTGCTTATAGAACCGTCGTGACAACATTCGTTTATGGCGAGACGATGCATCAGTATAAAGGAGGAATTTATAACGACTGTAAGTTTTTCCCGGTTGTGTCGTACAGCTCTCTCCGACGTGTGTTTCCGGATTGTTGCTGGCGCGTGTTGTTCGGCACGATGCCCACGTGCTCCTTGATGGGGCTCCCGTGGTGGAACCCCGACAGAGCATGGGGGAGACCTCAAGAGGGCCGGGCGTTCACGTGCCGATCGTCAGGGCTAGTCGGTCAAAATCGCGTCGACAAATGCCGCTTGCTGCTCCGTTCCGTCGCTGACATTCGTGGGGTCTCTTTCTTGCGCGTGCAGTCAGGTCTCTGAGCCTGATGGGGGAGCAGACTGGGCTGATCAAGTTTAAGGGCCGGCTGAAGGACGGGGACGCCCTGCGATCGGGATGGCTCAAGAAGCAGGGCGGCTTCGTGAAGACATGGCACACGCGCTGGTTCGTCCTCCGCCGGGGACAGCTCTACTACTACAAGAACGACGAGGAGGCCAAGGAGCAGGTGAACTCACAAATAAATACTCGGTTGCTGACAAAAACTGGCGTGGGCGATGCACTGGTTTGTGTACATCCACGGGACCTTTTGTGCCAGTATGAAAATGATGAAAAAATAAGAATAGTCTTCTTGGTTCTTTCGGTAAAGTCACGTAGAAGGGAAATAATAAAATAATAAAAATAAAACATAATAATGTTTTATGTTTATTATTTCCCTATAATAATAAAAAAAAACATAATAATGTTTTATTTTTATTATTTTATTATTTCCCTTCTACGTGACTTTACCGAAAGAACCAAGAAGATGAATCCCTGCAGTCACGAAAGCTTTAAATCGAAATATAAGAATAGGTTTCGATCCTTCCTGGCAATAAAAACAGGAGGTGTTAAGATGTTCAAAGACCAAAATAGAAACCTTTTACAAGGCATCAAGTCTGTATTAACCACGCGTGCTTGCGGCAAAACATGCTCTGTGTGTACTTTGAACTTATTTCGCAACGCACGTAGCCAACCGCGCTGATCGGAGGCGCGGGGCAAGGACAACAAGCCAAACACAAAAAGCAGTTCCAAAGAAATGAGTTTGCAAACTAGTTGACTTCAAAGTGCATCGCTCCGGAGGCTTCCTAATGCCGGCAGGAAGAGACGTTCCAGACGGCCACAGAAGCGCATTTGTGTGCGCCACGCGATGTTGGCCAAGCAGTTTGGTTGATTAATGGTCCTGGCACTCACCGATTCATTGTAAACAAGCTCCTCTCTCTCTCGCTTGTCGTTCGGTTGCTTCCTTATCACTCCGTTATCGCTGCTACCGTCGCTGTCGCTCTCGTGAATTGAACGTCTCGATACCACTGCCGCTTTCGGTGACTTGATTTACCTGGCCGGCCGTTTCTCTCATCCGCACCGCGTTCGGCCACCGAATTGTGGGACGCAGCATTTCTCTTCCCCGCTTCTTTACTTGCGCCGCTCGACTTTGAAGCTCCCTCCACTTTTCTCTTAGTTCCAAGTTCTTCTAACCCTGCTCCAGTGAAGAAACGTGTTGATTATTACACTCGGAACCCTCGTTAGCGTTCTTTGGGTGATTTGCATTCTAGGGCCTGCTATATTCTGTAACATTTGTTGAGAAACTTTGATCTTTCGATTTAAAGCTTTCGTGACTGCAGGGATTCATCTTCTTGGTTCTTTCGGTAAAGTCACGTAGAAGGGAAATAATAAAATAATAAAAATAAACATAATAAAAGACGCTGTCTCCCCGACAGACCTGGTCTTCACCTGAGGACAGCTGCTTGCGTTGTGGCCGAAACGTCGTGAGAATTATTTTATTATGTTTTATTTTTATTATTTTATTACTTTCCTTCTACGTGACTTTACCGAAAGAACCAAGAAGATGAAACGTTGATATCATTGTGGGGTATTGCTGAATAGATTACATTATGTGTTCAGGCAGAGCTTCGTGGGTGTACAGAAGGATCCAATAATCTTTGGATGGGGGGAAGGTGTTGCTGTGTTTGGTGCAATGTACTCATGAACCTGAGTTGGATTCTCGGTCACAATTAACATAATTGGCGAGCAGCTAACCGAACTGGTCCTAGCCCCCCAACTCTCCTCGAATCTACACTGACCAGCATGGTGAAGTTTGATTTTAAAAAAGTCACTATTATTACACTGGTCAACACACTTTTTCTGGCATAAGGTATTCCAACGGTTTTAAGGTAATTTTGGGGTGCTGATTCCAAATCTGGCATCAGTTTTTGTCTATCACATCAGGTTTTTGAGATATTAAATATTGCATTTTCAATAAAAACTGCAGAAGAAAAATATTAAATAAATGTGGATAACTACATAAAATGATATTATAAACACACTATCCTAAAAATACAGCATCATATTTTAACACTAAAGCAGTCACTGACTCGCAACAACTTGCAATCAGTAAGTGACAGAGTTAATTTCGGGTAAAATCAATGCAAATGGGGTATGCCGATAGCATAAAAATGAGATGTGATAGAGCAAATCTGAGCTCAGATTTGGAATCAGCACCCTGAAATTAGTTTAAAACAGCTGCAAAAGTCCAGGCCAGAATTATTGTTTTTGTTTGTTGACCAGTGTTATTATTGAGAGTTATTATGTTTGCAACACTGTGCTCCGGAATGATGGCGAGCGCAACTTGTGTTAAATGTGTTTTTCTTTTGTGTCTCGGTCATCTAGGGAGCTATCCCACTGCTTGGGAACAGAGTGAATCCCCTTGTGACCGGTGCTGAAGAGCAGGGGAAGCACCTGTTTGAGATCCTCCCAGGCAAGAGCGACGCTCCCTCACATCCTCACACAATCAGAGGCGGGGGGGGGGGGGGGGGGGGTGGGGAGTTGCACAGGCTGACTAACGGTTCATTCATAATACAATAATTAAAACTAACAACACAAACTAACAACACAAACCAACAACACAAACCAACAACACAAACCAACAACACAAACCAACAACACAAACCAACAACACAAACAAACAACACAAACCAACAACACAAACCAACAACACAACCCAACAACACAAACCAACAACACAAACCAACAACACAAACCAACAACACAAACCAACAACACAAACAAACAACACAACCCAACAACACAACCAACAACACAACCAACAACACAAACCAACAACACAAACCAACAACACAAACCAACAACACAAACCAACAACACAAACCAACAACACAAACCAACAACACAAACCAACAACACAAACGAATGACACAAACACAAAATGTTCGTCAATAGCACTGCCTTAAAAAAAAAAATACAACAGATACCGTTTTTGAGCAATGGCCCTTCTGTGTAGAACATAAATATGTATTCACGTAAATAAACAAACAGCGCTTCTACAAAGAAGTGCCGTTTAAAGAAGAGCCAATGCCCAGAACATCGGCCATTATATATTATACGTATAACCTGTTACACATTTGCCCTTCGAAGGCAGTGATTGTTGACAAATGTGTCACGGTTTTTATGTTATTCATGGTTTTGCACCACTGCCCATGGCAGTATTACCTCACAACAGGGTTCATTATCAAGGTATATTACGAGTATTAAGGACACGGACCTTGTGCAATGCGCGGCAATTTAACGATGCACATTGTTTGCCTAGGAAAAAAAAATAACTCCATTGAGTCTCAAGGCTATATTTCAGGTGGGTCCTGCTACGTTGGGATGTTTGGCACTTGGGAAAAAAACCCATTGCATCCGGTGCCACTCTGTACTGCCATGTCCTGCTCACACCTCGTAGCCCAACAAACTACAACACCCGGCAAGCCATTCCTGGTCACCCATTCAAGTGATAACCAGGCTCAAACCCGCTTAGCTCTCGATGATATGATGAGAATAATTGATTTGAGGGGAGGGGAGGGAGGAAACGAAACGCTACAGATGTTCAAACTCATGAATGTCTCCGTATTTTATTCTGTACAGTGCTGGGCATTAGGGAATGTTCTGCAGACTGCTTCTTTAGGCCAAGCTAATGTTTAGAGTCTCATTTCGAAAAAAAAGCTTCCATTGTGTATTCCAGTGTTTGACTTAACATTTTGAATAGATCGTTTCCTGCTGCTGTATTTTACAGCTGTTTACCATTGCACATAGTGGTTGTTATTTTTTTAAAGAATCACATTTGGTCTTTGATGCATGGATAATGACAGCTGTTATTTATACATTTCGGTCCTCAGCCTTGTTTGTACAGAATTCACGGCTGAACCGAGGGGAATGCGTTGAGCAGTGGGTTCTCACGCTGCGCTGCGAACCCGGCAAACCCGAGATCGACTCCCGGTCACGGGCTAACATCAGTGGCGAGTCATACGTGAATCCATTCCTGTCTCCTCTGCCCCCCACCCCCCCACCGTTCCTTTGTCAACAACACCGAACTGTTCAATGTGGTGAAGTATCTTCTTGGTTCTTTCGGTAAAGTCACGTAGAATGGAAATAATAAAATAATAAAAATGATATGCTCAAACAAACCCCAAAGACTGATGAGGCATGCAGAGGATTTTGTCCAGAAGTGGATTTACAAATATCTGTAAATAGTTAATGATAGATCAATCCTAAGTGATTATCACTGTGAAGCATCGGAGGTGTTAGTGTTACATTGATGCCCCCACTAATATTGATCCTGAAGCACACGTCACGTGCATCGAATTGCTCGTGTGAGTATCGATATTTTTAAAAGTTCTGCATTCAGTCTTTACGGGCTCATGTGAACCTCTCCTTTTGCCCACAGAAGCCGCTAAATTCACCGCTCTGTTATAAAAAAAAATTGGATCAAATCTCGATCCTGAATTTCGGGATTTCATCGAATAGCGAGGCATCTGTCGACACACCTCGTAGTGGTGTGTCACACGTCTGTCATTCAGGGGAACGAGGTGGCAGGCATTTGTCGGATCACACAGGGACACACAATGCGCAGGGAGATATTCTGCCTCCGCGGTTTTAGTTTTTGTTTCGTGACCGGCTGGTGCAGACTGCGTGACTTGGTTATCCGCCTCGTTACTTCGCGTGTTATCTTCGGGGCATTTCAGTCAGAAGACACAATGTGTCCTCGAACAGGTTGGTGAAACGTCCTTCGCTGGATCCTCCTGAAGGAGGAGAGGCATGGGATTCAGTGAGGCCTGTCTGGAGTAAACAAACAATAAATCAACAAAGCGATTTCTGTTCACCGTTCTCTCAGCTGTGACCACCAGCCGTTGTAGTCGCCGCATCAGAGAGCACACACGCACACACACACACGTAAACTGAACCCACACAGTCATATACACACAGATACTCACACACACATACACAAATGCACACTAAACACACGTGCATGCATGCACACACCACTCATGTACAGATACAAAGACATATCCCCGTGTAGCCTACATAGGCGGTTGAGACAAGTGCTTTTAGCGAGCACCTGTGAAGGCCGTCACGGGGTGGGTGGCCAGCACCACGCCCGGCCCTCTTTGTATCCCCAGTGGTGATGTTCACGCACCACCCCAGGTATTCAGTTGAGGCTGAGTCGACCTAGGGGAAGCCCATGACTGGTTTAGATAATAATCGTCCCTGATGTTGGTCATGAGCGAGAATCGAACTCGGGTCGTCGGGTTCATAGCGCAGCGCGCTAACCGCTACACCACCGCTCCCCGCATAACTACACTCACACACGCACACGTGTGTAGCAAACAGACGCAAGGTTGCGTCTGTCTGGCACAGCTGGGATCAAGAAACACGCTTATAACATAGTTTTTTTTCGGTTAGATCGCGCAAATATAAATGTGTCAGTTAAACCCGCCACCACCCGACACAGCCAATTATGAAGGTTGTATCACGTGCACAGAACGTGGCAATTTCGTTGCTGGCACAGCACGAGCCGGTGTGTGCTGACGAGCAAATCCAAGCGCCCAAGTGTTGAGGGGGGCAAGCCGGGCTCCCGTCCGTGACCGTGCCTGAGCGACGGGCGCGATTGATCCGCGCGCAATTGCATTGAACTCTGATTAACGAGCCCTCCCTCCTCCTCCTTGTGCGCCGTAACGGAGAAAGTGATTGCAGGTCCCCGTTTGTCTCGCCGCGCGTCCGCAGACACGGGGGGTGGGAGAGTGGTGCATGGTGGGTGGTGGTGGTGGTGCACGGGGAGAGAGAGAGAGAAGGGTGGGGAGAGGGGGGTGAACAAGGCTGCAAGACGCTGGGGGCACCGCCGGTTCAGGTGCGACGCAGCCTCTTGCGTGGTGCTGCCGGAGTGGTGCTGGTGGTGGGGGGTGGGTGGGTGGGAGCGTGGAAGTGGACATTGTTGCCAGGGTTGGAGAAAACTATTTTGAGCGCCTTGAAAATGTTTGGTTTTTAATTGGAACAGAGTTGTCCCCTCTCTCTCCCTCCCTGGGTGGGGGGGGGGGGTTTGCACGTCAGTGTCCGTGAATGAGAGCGGGTCGTTGTCGTCGACCAGTGAAGAACAAATTGACCCAGATGCTCGCCACGATCTGTTTGATCTGGGAGGCCCCACACTACCGCGGGGAAGGAGATGGTCCCTGCACATGTGCAAATATGAAGAAGCCTTAAAAGTTGCAGCCAAGTGAGAGCCTCCCCCCCCCCCCCCCCCCCCGGGACTCTGCCTTCGATTTGGGTGACGGGAGAGGGCCCAAGAAACGTCTCACAGCGCGGGGACTCCTTGGCCGGCCTCCACCGTCACGAACGTTCCCGGCTTGGCGCGCAGGGGTTTTGTTTTTTTGTTCAACGTAGGTCGCAACGAGTGAAACTGCTATGAGATAAACAAACAAATAAAAAAACAACCAACCCTAAGAAATAGCACAAACAAGCAGAGAGAGAGAGAGAGAGAAAAAAAAATCAGATTAAAACGAGAAAAAGAGTCTGCCGTTAGCAAGGCGCAGTTTCTTAGACATCGAACGGGGCGACAGGTGGAGCGACTGCGAGAGAATTCGGAGAAATTGCCGGCGCTGTGATTCATGCTCTGCCCGCCCGCTCGCCCGCCCGCCCGCTTTGAGATCAAACCCCGGATTCTCCCATGGACGAGATGGGCGTTGGATGCTTCAAGGCACATTTTGTGGAGCCGAAGAAGCTAGCAGGTAATGCGAGTACCCTGCGCGCCTCGGTTTCCCCTCTCTCCCCTCCCCCTCCTCTCTCTTTCAACGGCGGCAGAGGAACGTTTCAGTAGCCGGTGGCCACGTGGCTTCTCGAATCAAGGCCAGTGCGGTTATTACGACGAAAATCCGGCCGGGCGTCGAGAGCGGCCCCTTGCCAAAGCTCTGTGATATGCATGTAGAGTGAGCGAGTGGTGAGCATGCCAAGCTATGTAGAGTGAGCGAGTGATGGAGCGAGTGGTGAGCATGCCAAGCCAGGGCAAGATTGTGTCACGCGATTGCCTTGCGGGCTGACGTTCCACGTATTGGTGCAGTTATTATTTCCACCTGTTATGCAACGGTAACGATATTCCGTTGTTTGTTTGAATAAACACGTTAGATGATTAGGCGTGGAGTGGCGGTGCAGTAGTTCACGCGGCGCTGCTGTGATCCTGGCGCATCCCGAGTTCAGTTCCTGGAGTGCCGAGTGATTTCGAAACCAAGTCTTGGGCCTCTCTCCCCATGCACCAACCGATGCTGACCAGCATGGTGAAGTATGACCAAACAACCCACGGGGAAGCACTCATCTAGCAGTTAATTGACAAAGGGTTGTGATTTGCTATCGGTAGAGACGTTGAAGGTCAAATATACGTGTGAATTTTTTTTTGGTATTGGTCAATATTAATCCATAGCGTTAACGGTG